GGGTGTTTCATAATAAGAACCCCATCATTATTAACTACAGGGACTTTCATAGTGAAGACTTTCATGGTTATAACGTGTGTTCATCGGGGAGTTAACAGAGTTTTAACAGAGCTAAGTAAGCTGTGTTTTCAATTACACCAAAGGGAGTTACAGTATTTACAGTCACTCCCGTGTCTACGAGTCGAGGTCAGCCTCAGCCTGCTCCTTTTCATCATTTTCAGCTTGAAACAAGCAAATCTAAAACACATCTTCAAACAGGTAGAAGAGAAGTTGTTAGTCAATCTGAGACTGCTTGTAGAACCAAAACACCTGCTGGCACATTTGTACAAAGATTTAGACATGTTTGTAAGCTTTTTAAAGCTTCACCGCTGAAATATTCAGAAAAGAACATCTCTTTTTTTTTTATTTCACAGCTTTAACAGAGATCTCTTGTGAAAACCAGGCTTTGTAACAATATTGCTGACCATGGTAGACTGATGTGGTATCAAACTACATGAGCAGTGATGAGAACTTTTTCATGATTTAACAGACTTTCAGGTGAGAAGACATTTATTTGTTTTGATTTGAACACAGATGCAGATTTATTTACTTGAAAGATAGTATAAGTGCAGCACAATCCTCTCAGGACATTTCTGCAAATTTTGCACGGATGGTTTTCGTTTCATCCAATGGCACACTGCAGTCGACGCTTTTGTGTTTTCAACAGACATGTGTTCGGCTCACTTGGAGTGGCAGTGACAGAAAGGGCTTAAGAGTGAAGATTTCCTCATAAAACAGATGCACTATTCAGCAGTCGAGGCCTTTCCTGACAATCCTTTTGGCACGTTTTAGCAGTTGTCCCACATTTGTATAACTGTGAGCTGGCCTGTTAATTTCTGAATGTGGTTTTTGGCACGAAAATATGCATGATTAATGGGGCAAAACCCCTCGGTAATGTCTGTAATATGTCCGCTAAACATGCTCAGGAAGGGTTTGGCATTATTGTTCTTTATCCGAGGTAATTTAGTAAGCAATGCCAGCTTGGTCACCCTCCTCACTCTTACCCCCACCGCACGCACGCACGCACACACACCCCCCCTACATCCTCTGTTACTCCAGTTCTCCTGAAGAACCCCTTGTTCTCTTGTTTTGCAGCTGCTGTGTTTGCCTGGGAGGGAATGACGAAAGGAAAATTTGAAGTAAAATGTGCCCAGGATGTGCCAGTTTTTTCTGAAGTAAATAATATCTTTTGTCAACATTCGTCTTTCGCCAAAACATTTCTGTTTTGACCACTTCTGTAGACAAATAAAACTAGTGGCACACATTAAAATGCGCAAAAGCAGTGATTATTTTACTGATGCGCATACAGGGGAGTTAAGTCGTGATATTAAAAGTCATTGTAAACAATATCAGTCGCCTAAAGATATAATTGAAACAATTGAGCAGTATATCAGACAGTCTCATAAGTTAAAAATTAAAGTGTATAAAATTAAAAATTCAGGAAGTGTAAGTATCATACGCCACCTGAGTGATTACATAGTCATCAATAATATGAAATTCAAAAATCTTATTAGCAGAAGCTGTCTCTTCAGAGAGAATCACAGGGCTGTATCTGGTTTCCACTTGCAGGATTTTTTTGTCTTTTTTTCCTCATTAATTTTGAACAAAATGGCCTCAGACTTCACTGCAAGTAGATATTTGTTTTGAGCAGTTCAGCTCTAGAAAATAAATATTTCTTCCTTGGAAATATTTCAGTAGATCCCAGCTGCTTTAGGCGATAGATGCTTAAAGGGTTGAAATTCAAAACTCTTATTAGCAGAAGTTGTCTCCTCAGATAGAATCACAGGGCTGTATCTAGTTTCCACTCGCATGATTTTTTTTCTGTCTTTTTTTCCTCGTTAATTTTGAACAAAATGGCCTCAGACTTTCCTGCAGTAGATATTTGTTTTGAACAGTTCAACTCTAGAAAAGAACAGTTTCTTCCTTGGAAGTATTTCAGTAGATCCCAGCTGCCTCATTATATGAAAAATGTAATGTTATTGAGCGTATAGGCCTACTTATTTTGATAATGTCTTTAGACATTATTTTTCTTGTTGAAATACGTTTAAATGCTTGACCTCTATATGCAAATCACAGTCAAGCAGAACAAAAATAATGACTCAGGAAGCAAAGCTCAAAGTTTAATGATGGAAGTGAGGTAGATAAATTACGACATGTGTTATCACATAGGACCGCTGCTACGTACGCCGAAGAACCGTCACGCAAACTTAAGTCATTTCCAAAATCATGTCCAGGAATACAGATGTAGAGTTTTTAGTAAGGATGTGATTTTTCTTGTCATCACCGTCTCCTTCCAGCTGGATGCTATTTTTGTCTGTGACTTTTGACAACTGGCAACAGTCCTTCTTGACATCACTAACCCTATAAGCCAGTCAGGAGCTAGGCTAAGGAGGCAGCAGGGATGAAAAGTTAATGCACACCAGCTTTTGAATCATCTGTTATCAGCGGGAACAAGGCTTGAACACAAGTTGAGCCCGGCCAGCACAGCACCTCCTCACTGGTTGCTGATTGCTGCGGTTCTGGTCATCTTATCTTATGAGAGCTGGGTGGCCATAACATTTCTGGGTCCGAGTTTGTGTCTGGCTGTTCTCATTCATTGTTTCGCATGCAAAGGGTCATTGCGAGGAAGGTAAGACCACCCCCCAAAGAACAGAAGAACCACAAGATAAATATTCTCAACCATCTCCACGCAGAGGCTGTTAATTTTTGCTTTCTTAAAGTGAAGAATGTTTTCTAAGTTTAATAATTGCTGTCGCATGGGAGAGTTTTAACAAAAGAAAAAGGACCAAAAATGCGGAATAAAAAGGTTTAATAAACAAAAGCCACGGAAAAACAAAAACTTTACAAAAGAAAAATTCAAATGAAAAACACTAGGGCCAAAAAATCCCCAACAAACAAAAGACACTGGGGAAAACCACGAGTGCATAAGTAGGGATGACACACATCGATAGTGAACCAACAAAGAAAGAGGGGAAGACAAGGACTGTATACACACATGAGGAAACGAGCAACAGGTACGACAGACGAGACACAGGAGAGACTCCTGAGTGATTAACAATCACTGAGGAAGTACATCTAGACAAGACACACAGGAACTACAAAAAACAACAACATGAAACACTGAAAATTGAACTAAGGAACCAAACTGAGAAAAACACGAACAGGAACATAAGAATAAAGCTCACCGAGACACAGGAACACCAGGGAACAGAAACACAAGGAAAAATACGACTAAATTACAAAACCAGGAAACAAGTAAATTAAAATAAAGATATCATGACAAACGCACACGGTAGAGATGCTGTTGATTCATGAGTTATCATGTTTTATGGAGGTGATCTCAATAAAACTCATGACTCTTGCCAGAGTCGAGCAGCCCTTCACTGACGCAGCACGCAGACAGGTATGGATGATTTGAAGCACTACACAGAAAAAGCCATGACAACATGAACAAACAAACGTCCACATGGAAAATGCTAAGCTCTTTCAGCTTAGCAAACACAGATAAATGCTTTTTATTTCATCTTAAAAATTGAGAATTACCATTTGAAAGTATTCTTTGACTTTAAAATCACTGTTACCTGGTATAGTATTTGTTTTTCAAAGCAAGACAGGTCAACTGATCAACTTTTGACCGCGTTTGACTGCCTGTACAAGTTGCCTGTAGCGTTATGAAAAAGTTCGCTGTTGTTAATAATGGCTATCCTTAGCTGATTCCCTGGGAATCTAGCATGACATCCATGTTGTCTGAACAGTGCCATTTTTTTGAAAAGAAGGACGAAGAGATTTTATGTCAGCTTAATGTCTACCAGAGGGTCAGTAAATCACTTAATAGGTTGTCTCAGACTCACTGGTGGAACACAACTGACTCATTTCCTGGCAATGCCTCTCTCAACAAATACTGTCTGACAGGCATATTATGGTTAAAATAAAATCTTCCCTGGCATGTTGTGAAATAAACCTTGAAAAGAACTCACAAGACTATCATTGCATGCTATAAAAGAATGCAATTGGATAACTACTCAGGAAAACAATTATCAGTGAAAGAAAAAACAATCCCAAACAAGAGGGGAATGCATGTTTTGTACCCTGAAAGATGACGACAGAGAAAAGGATTTATATAATGACCCAGTGTTTTCAGAACAGATCATCGCCAGTCTGAATTGATCACAAATTTAACGTGATTCATGATCAAAAGACTCTGATTTTAGTGAAACTAGCTGACCTTTTACTCATCTTGCAATACACCTTGAACTGTCAGGATCCAACACTGAGCCAACAGAGAGACATAATAGACACACAACAATACCTTTGAGTAATCACAAATCTCCTGCCTGTCTGCTTTTTATATCTTTGGACTGCAGCAGGAAACTAGAGCACCTGGAACTTCCCTTGTAAATAAATTCAATTTTACAAGCCATGCTGAGACTTTACCTATTCATTTCTGTTCAGATCTAGCCCTAACGACAACAGCATACAAAGGCAAGCGCCAAAGAAACTTGTATTTTGGACTGAACATGGGACCAGTAACATGAACAAGGAAAATGTGAGAGTAGTCATTTTATCTGTTTTGTAACTATATCTTTAGGGGATGTCCCGATACAAATTTGATATCGAATATCGGTCCGATATCAGCAAAAGGAAATAAATAAATAACAATAATAAAATGTTGGTTTTATATCAACCTGGATCTTAAATCTTCAATATCAGCACTCTGATACAAGTAGTCCATTCCAGACTGAGCTCCGGCACCTCTATTTAGCAGCACCTGGATCCAGCATGCAGAGCCCATGTAATCACAACAACAGTGTGTACTAAGGCAGTGGTTCTCAAATCCAGGCCTTGAGGCCCACTGTCCTGCATGTTTTGGATGTTTCCCTGCTCCAACACACCTGGTTCAAATGATCAGCTCATTACTGAGCCATTACAGAGCTTGATAATCAGGTGTGTTGGAGCAGGGAAACATGCAGGACACTGGGCCTCGAGGACTGGACCTGAGAACCACTGTACTAAGGTACTGACAAATTAGCAAGGAGTAGGAGTGATGTTGGCCGTGTGGCAGTATTTCTTGTTTAAGTCTGAAAAAGACGTTGCAGCAAAGTGCGAAACTTGTCATGCACAACTTTGTGATAATATCAGATCAATATTGGTATCGTATCAGAAGAAAAAATTTGTATCAGGACACCCCTATTATCTTTAGATGCATTTCATTCAAGAAAGAACCCAAACATCAAACTGTTAGTTAATTACTACATCCAGTTACAGTGTACTTGAACAGCACAATTAAAACAAGCAATCACAAAATAAAATGTTAGAGCCCTTTGTCTGTAACCGTGGTTCTTAACTGGTCTCACTCTGGGACCCACATTATCCCATGGTCCTCAAGTCCCAACTCACTTTTATGGAATTAAAACCAAGCAAATTTATTTTTTATTTAAAAAAAAAAAAAACTTGAAAGGCTCAAATCTTCAACACAAATACACCCATTTTATTGAGTAAAGTGCATTTCAGAGCACATGAACTGAGGACGACAGCTACAGAAAATATCAAATATCAAATAAATATCAAATTGCACAAAATAAGCTGTTTTTCAAAATAAAAGACATGTCAAACATCAGATGCGCATTAGATATTTACTTTTTTGACCAGCTGTTTGCGACCCATTCAGAATGTGTCCGCGACCCACTTTTGGGTTGGGACCCACCAGTTGAGAACCACTGGTCTATAAGATAACAGCATACACCTGAAGTCTTCCAAAGAAAAGACCAACAACAGAAATTAAAACCTGAGTCACTGTGCATTGTCTCAATCCACTGGTGACCATCCTCTCTTCCATACCCACAGCGTTATCAGCGCAGCAGCTCAACTGCTTTCGGTCGGCTCTAATCAGCGCTCTCAGCCTTCACAGCTAGATCTGTCAAGACCGCTGTGCTCCGAGAGGCAGTGGGAGTTTGATACAGAGTGAAGGATTGTTGGCTGGCAGATGACTGCACATGGTGCATGATCTCTGCAAATCCTTAAAACTGCCAGTATTCAAAGGAAAAAGAAAATACGAGCTGTCTAACAATCACTGCTTGTGATTTTTCTAATTAGATCATAAGTTATCAATTAAAGTGTCATAAATGTTTACCAAAAATGAGCAGATCCTTCACTTTTATGATATACTGTGTGCATAATTTGTAAAAAGCAGTAAGTTATAATTACTCATGTGGTGGTATTGTTAACAAGCCTTTAAAAATATAAAACATAAATGGAAATTCCAAGTCTCTACATCATGTCTGCCACAGGCTGACTCCACTCCAGACTCATTAATCACACAGTAAGGCACACTTTCGCCGGCCAATATTACCTCAGAGATGTGATATCAAATTGCAATGCAATATCACATCAAAGCTCAATAACATATTCTGTCAGAACGGAGAGAATTCTTGAAAAAAATGAAATGACATCTAATTTGTCAAGATTCTGTACTGCTGCTTCATAAAACATTGAAAAAGAATGACTTGTGCTGTCAAGAGATTTGACAGGCAAGACAGACTTACTGAAAGAAGGCAGTAAAAGTCCAGCACAGGCTTTTTTTTCCACAGACTTTGCCAGGAAAATATCGCAAAAATGCTTCTGGTGGAACTATGACATGGTAGGCTACATACTTCATGCACCCTTTGTTAGATCAAACCAAAGAGAGAAGGTACAGAGATTTGATGAGATACGACAGCCCTGAGAGCCTCTGATTCAGAGAGCCTGATTACAATTGTAAGACTACTGCGGCATTCGTTGTACATTTGCATCATTGTTGACCAAAGATGGATGCATTATTTCAAAACCCAAAAACAAGAATGTTTGATTTTGGAATAAATCTCTACATAAAAATGCAACAATGCACGTCTTTTGGACGACTCTCTCTTTGTTAGTATTTCAACATTTAGTTCACTAAAATATTCCAAGAATGATGAAGAAGGGTGTAAACACTGCGCTCATTTATAATTCTGGAGTTAAATGATCAAAATCATCAAACGTTGAACATACAGAAAAGTTGTATGTCTTGATACAAGTTTGTCACTTCCCGACAGATTTACCAAATGATTTTCTCTTTTTAAATTTTTATGAAGAGCTCTCTTACAAACGAAAGTCTGTTTTTCTAGCAACGACAGCAACTTTGGACCAAACGAACCTTCTCACAGATATCATGACCAACAGAACCATGACCCCTGACACACCTCACATCACCTCATGTTCACACAAATTAGATTTCTTCATGGCAAAAAGTCACTGCCAGAATCAATTGACTGCTTCATGACTATCGCTGTGGTTAAGGGTCCAAACAATCCTCATGCCAAAACCATCAACATCTCAGGTCAGGAAAACTTCCGAAGTGGTTATATCCTTGATTTTTCTCTAAGGAGTAAAACTGTCAGACGTTAACAAGGAAGTAAAGGTTTAAAGAAAGGCAGAGCACCTTCTGACTGACAAGCTGTTGTAAATTTCTTTCTTTCATTCTGGCTCTGGATGATCAAACTTGGACTCTATAATGTTGTACCCATTCCACACTGTTGGCGTCAAGGTGTTTGTATATCTGTGATTATTTACAATATATAAAGCTGTGCATTCCTGTAATGGGGCACTGTTTATGAAATGACTGGCAATGTTTAATAATGAACAATGGAAGCTGTTGTATAATCAACACTTGCAGAGACTCCTGCAACATAACAGTTTATGCCACACTCAGTATGAAATGTCACGAGGAAAAACAATCCAATCAAGTGGAGCAGCCTTGACTAAAAACAAAAACCAGACCATCATTGCAGTGTTGCCATATATCGGTTCTTTCTAAATATTTAACGGGAGTCCCAGGTCAAAAGAAAACATGTGAAAGCGCTCATGTTATTGGACTAATAGGACAGCTTTCCAATCTGCAAATGTTTAGCGGTTGGCTTCATTTAAATGTGCGTCAGGTATGAGGCTCCATCATTAAAATAATGTAAGACTTTTTCAAGGTCTACGTTTTAATTTTACAATGTCATATCAGCAGTCACACAGTGAACATAGCCAAAGTCTAACTACAGCAATAAATGTGTCAACTTATGACTCCTTCCAACTCCTTACAATAACTACTGAGTGGCAATAAAATACAAATACAGTAAAAGAAATAGTAAAGGCTGGATAAATGTAATGAAATAACTCAAGATGAGACACAGCCAGGAGGCATGGAGACCAGTTACAGCGAACGACTAGATTTGCCAAAAATTTGTCAGAGACCAACACAAGAGGCCGTGAATGAAAGCAGCGCTGACAATGAGCATGAAACGGTCACAGGACAATGTATTGTGTTTTTACTGTCATGCTTTCTTAGCAATGGCTAGACTTCAAAGAGGAATTAGTCTTAGAAAACCGAATAGTTTGGACGGCATTATCATTTTTTTTTCAAAACAGAGATAAGTATTTTGCATGCGGACGTCTGTGTGTGTTAACAAGTTGTATGCGGCGTTTAATGTGGTACTTTTTGATCTATATTCCAAGAGGCCTCAATAACAGCTGAGACAACTGTATCAAAACAAATAAATGGAGCCATTGATCATACTAAATTGACCTAAATCATGAAGAGTCAAATACCCTAAAGTTCAAAATGTGAGGTGCAAAGAGAAACTAAAGTTACAGAGGTGTCATTGTTCCCAAAGATTTTCAGGGGCCAAAATGTGAGATCACGTCTGTTCCCAATTTTAGAAAGACAAGGGACAAGGACTTTTTATAACATGTGGTGTTGGTTCCCTGAAGATAAAAGCACACAATCAAAACACAGTCAAAACTACCAGCCAAGGGGGACCAATAGTCACAACAACAAAAGTTTTTTCACATGACCCCTTTTTTAAACAGTCATTTAATCACTGTCAGCAGAAATCAAATAATGCTGGGAAAGCTAGAAACAGCAAGAAAACAAATAAACAAAAATAGAAACAGTGATTAGTGTTTGGTTCCGTCTGTCACCGAGCTGGCAGAATGGGCTACCCTTGATATCTGTAAAATCACAAAAATGTAGACGCATGTTCACTGTAAGACTGTTAGCTATGACTTCAATATTAAAGCATCTGGAAAAATACTCAAAGAAGAGATGGGATATCTCACTATATGATTAACATATGAGAACATTATTTTCAAGAGGAGTAAAGCATGGGGGGGCTACTTATACGCTACTTCACATTTCAGCATACGCACGGTATATAAGACGCTATAGATCAAAACACCATGGGTTTGCGTTGGCATCAAATTTCTCATGTCCTCCCCTTTTGAGACCACGGAGAGAAGACACAATTAAATGTGCACCTAACTCATTTAAGACCAGACAGGGGGAAGAAATGTACCCAAACAAGTAAGAAGTAAAATACAACACAGCCCTGGAAAAAGTCCTTAAATTTCTGAGCAAAAGCTTAACAACTACCAAATGTGAGAACACCAAATGAATGTCAACTTGTTTCACTATTTCTGTTCTCAATAACTGGAAGAGAATGATCTTAAAGGGTTTATGGTTTCTTTGTGGATAATCTGAAGGCGATGCACACACACACACCGTGTGAAGCAGGAGCATCGGAATCAGATTAGATGTACAATGAGAGCCAGGAAATTGACCATCGAGCTATTTTTAATGTCCGTCGCTGCTGCAACTGAGTATGCATCCCAGATTCTTATAAAGCAATTCAAGCTATACAATATTTACAGCTTCCTTGGGAAAATATTATGCTGATCTGTGTGTCAGATGAGTACATGGAAGCAGAGCTAGATTTTTCCCTAGGAAACACAAAGGATACGCACAGGGTAGGATAAACAAACAGAAAAGACAAAGCACTTTATTCACAAAAAAAATCCCCTTCACAGATGCTTGATTTCAAACATTTTGTTAAATATAAATTCCCAACTTTCTCAATACTTTGACTGCAGTTTAGTGTGAAGATCTCAAGCACTTAGAGGGCTGTGTTTATTTGCTCATATGGGTGTTAATGGTTAGTTTTCAATTCTGCGTTTTACTTGTTTGTTGTTGCAAAGTCCAAAAGTGTTCAAATTTTCTGTTAGTAGTTGGTATTTCTGACACATAGGAGCTGTAAACAGCTAAACCACTCTATCTGATTACAGCATCGCCACTGGAGAGAAAATAAGTGGGTGCTGTGTTGAGTTCTGTCAATTTGATGCCAGACTCTGGACGCGAGGATCTGTAAGGGCTCCGTCAACACGCTGAACAAAGTGGGAAATAACAGTGAGAGTGGAAAGCTTGCAGTCTAATTTGTGCCACCTGTTTTCTGTCTTGACATCATCAGATGGAAACCTCTCAGGTTCTTGTTCATGCCTCGACTCTTTGGTCACCATTAAAACATCAGAAAGCTGGCACTGGCAAGGCCGGAGGCAAACAACACATGGCCTACTGTTTGCAGTGTTTTAAAGGATGTCATGGAATATTACTCAAAATAAATACAAACATGCTTGATTACTTTGGGCAAGAACAGATCATTATTTACACTATGCCTCAATGGTAATTATAGGACAAATGCATCTGAGGTGTTGAAACGGTGTTTGAGTCCCACTATGACGGGAATATATGGGAATTAACTGGAATAAATCAGAAATCTACAAAATTGAAGGTTGGCCCTCAACAGGGAACTTAAATATGATCGATAATTGTATTAATATTTAACTTGCAAAAAAATTAAATACAAATTGTTGCTAAATGTAAGCTATTTTTCATTTCATTGACCATTTAAGGGGTCTAGCTTATTATGATGGTGGTAGCTACCTCAAATGTGATGCTGTTTCTTCTTTGGTTTTCTGAAACCATACAATAATTTATACATCAATTGTCAAATATTTTGAAGACCATTGCAGTTGTTTAGCCAACTTTATTTTTGTTCATGCCATTGCATTAGTGTTTTTACAAGCTTTTTTGTCATTTTATTCTACAGAAAAATGCCACATTCACCATCTGATGTGTGGAAGCATTTCGCACAAGCTAATGTTGAAGGAAAAATATTTACTTTCAGTTTGGATATGATACAGTTTGTTTAAATTACCCCCAGTTTCCAGTTAATTCCCATAAATTCCCATAATTTCCATGGAAAGTTTCCAATTATGTATATTTTCAAAATTTCCAGGCTTAACTTCCCATGGAAAGTTTCTGGAAATTTACCAGAAATTCCCACTGTAACTGTGATGTGAAAAGAAAGAGGTCATTACCTTACTTTACTTTTGTTAAGTTTTATGACCACCTGCAATCAAATGAATTCAGAGATCAGTATCAGAGATCAGTTTAAAGACCCACTCCAATGAAAATTATGTTTTTCTTGTCTACATGTTCATATGGCATTTTTCTCATGCTAGAGGACATATCATGGGAAAACTAAGTGCAAAATTGCATTTCTGATTATGCCTGCATTCAAATCACTGTGAACCTCTCAGAGCCAAGGATTTTCCATGTCACAAATCTACACTTCACCCCTTGCCTCCTGTTCTGCAGGCCAGACTTTCAGAAGTAGAGAGGACGATCATGGAACAAGTGTGTGCAGAGAGCTAATTATGATACTAACTTTCATCATGCCCCCAATGACTTTAGTGTCCAACAGCTGGATAGCTCCTATGTTACCTGCCACTTATGCTGTGCAGAGCAGCGCTGTCTCTGCCCATGACTCAGAGGAAATTGCTTATGAACTACTGGAGCTCTGAAGAAGAAAAGCCCTTTAAAATGACACAGGTAACATAATTTTTGCTGAAAACCTCATAATCACAATTTAAAGACCACTAAAAACACTTTTAAGTATTAAAAAAAATGATCTGAGCAGGACTTCAAGTGTATATGCCACTGAGAATTTTCCCATGTTGGTTGCTTTGCCATCAGAAAGTCTATTCGTTTTTGCATCTTTTGCTGCAGTCACAATAGACACACATGCTTCTCTGTCTGCAGAGCTATCTGCAAACTGGCTCTATGTTGTATATGTATGTGTCACTCTCATTTTGTGAGTTTTGCCTTCTACTTTTGCATAATACAAGCTAAATTATGTGGTAGACTTGATCCCCCAAAGTAATATGAAATATCATATAATCAAAACAAAAAAAAACTGTGTTATACAGTCATTCAATAACATCATGTGTATAATAAAAATAACCCAACTTTGAATGATGAGGCCACACTGTCTTTAAAGGACATGCTTCCATTTAAAATACACTCCCTATAAGTAGCTAAATCATTTTAAAACTTCAAATTGCATCACAAAGGAAGATGAAGTTGAGTTAATCAGTCAAAAAAAGTATATATTTTGTTCACCTGCGAAAGAAAACATGGGGTCAAGTCAAATGACAGATCAGTGCGTTTTTGAGCTAGAAGAAAATGAGTTACTCTTTCCAGTCTACAAAGTACGGAGGGTAATCAAACTAAAGCGCTGCATGCCTTTCACTCTCTGTATCCTGACTTTACTTTGACTACACCTCAACCATGAGAAAGAGCTAAGGTGGATTTAGCGCGTAAAATGCAAAAATTAAACAAATTACAAAGTCATCTCTTTGTTTAGAGTACATTGATCAGAGGAATAAATATCAGCATATTTCCTGGACAAAACTAGATATGATGCAAAGTAAATGTTGAAAACAATACCAATACTTGATCTAACCTGAATGGCAGCCACACAACTAAAAAAGCATTAATCATGTTTATGACAAAACAGACAAACATACTCACGTCAAACTGAGTTTTTTACTAAATACCAAAGGCAAAAATGATTCACATCTGGGTAGCATCAAAACTCAATAATGAATCAACCCTCCCTGATTTCGGGGCCATGTTGGCCCAAAATGCACGAAGCGATTGTATCTGTTTGAGTGTTTGGCTTCAGCGATGTTGAAGCTTTCACTGAAAACATCAAAGCTAGGTTGGCAGAGTCTTATGCTGAATACACACTCACACAACATCCAGCAATAGTAATGCCAAATGAATGTTGTGTGTTGACACACAAGACTTCAACATTGCACTCATGTTTGTGGAAAGACTTGGTAGACTGACAGACAGAAAGTATGAGAAGACCACACCACAAATGCCCTATTGGCTGTTTTGATGACTGCTACGTGATAACAGAATGGTTCAGCTTACATTTTCTGGCTGATGTTTGTTTCTGGACAACATTTCGGACTAGGGAAGAGTTTCAAGAAGAGTAGGGATCAAATGGCTTCAATCTACAAGAGAAGACAATCTTCATGTCTTCACTTCTTCACAATATTTTGGAGCCACCAAAGGTCAAGGTGTCTGTTAAATTGTTATAGAGGCTTAAGCAGATTACTGTAAATGGGAAATAGTTTGGTCGGCCAAACTGCATTACACCTCTGGAGAATGGACATCCCATGAAGACAAAACATTGTGCTAACCTTTTGATACAAGCTTTTTTCAACAAACTTTAATTTTGGAAACAAATATTATAAATTACATGCAGCTTCCAGGACTAAGACCTGGAGGGATCACTTTACGAACTTCAGGCATGGAGAGCTTAAATCCCATTACACTGACCTTTTCCAAGTATTAGCTCTGGTGATTTACGATGTAGGCCAAAAGGTGGAGCAATTTCACACATGCTGCATATCATCACCGATGTTCCAATTTTCCCATGATACTTTGTCCCGAAACTCTCCTTTTATATTCACAGGAAACAAACAAACAAACAGTAAAACTCTGCCTTTAAGAAACCTCCTAAATACTTGGTAAATTTGAGACAAAAGATTAATAAAAGATGTTAAAACCAGCTGGAACGGAGAACAACATGGGAGTTGCAGTACTCCTGTCGTTGCATGCCAAGTGTAATCTCTAGACAAATGTTTTTCAGTATGAAGACTCTTTCTTAATTAAAATTAGAGTTAATAATTTGACACATATATGCCGATCGAGCCCTTACCAAAACAAAAGGATATCATGAATCATTTACTTTTAAGGGTGTTTTCACTTTCTGATGTTGATTTTGAACGTAAGGCAGAAAATCACTCTCATATGGAGGCGATGTTTGCCACATTCTGTCAGAAAATCTGTCCATGATACTGACAGCATCGCCTCTTTTGGGGGGGAATTTCTCATAATCTTTGAAAAACACCCTCGCTTTTTAGAGATGTAAAACACCCTGCTCTTTTGAGATGCGTGTATCTGCATAATAAACACTTACAATGAGGAGAATGTTATCGAACAAGCAAAAGCCAGAGCAAAATAAACCCTACAGGATTTCCCTTCAAGTAAAACCATCTGTTGTTACATTCTACGATGAGCAGACCCTCCAACATCCCGATATCCAATTAGTTACTGGCATGTTTTGCCCTCTTGCATCTTTACTGAATCTATTTGCTGTGGTCACGACTATTCCTTATATTTTTTAAACAACATTGCATCAAATTCAGGTGTTTTTTTTATTTTTTTCTAAAAATGCATCCATATCTTTAATCAAACCCTACCCTTACACAGTGAGTGAACACGTTTTCTACACATTGGTTAAACTTCAACTTAACCTTACAAACTATCTCTATACATCTTCATTTCATTCATGGAAACAGTTTTCCATGATAATAATATTCAGATGTGCAATCTGGCTCGATACTTTCAAACAGCCTACTGCGTGTGACCTAATACCGCAAACATTTGGCAAAGTAAAAGGTAACACAGTGTCGTATAAAATTTTGATTTATGTCCATGCTCTTCACAGTAAGGAACTTAAAACTGGTTATTAGACATCCCTGTGTTTCCTGATCTTTCATTATAAACTATCTAAAAGGGTAGGACATCTTTTTGGAGCTCAACAGGCATACTCGTTCCAGATGTCCATAGTTTACCGCAGCTGTAGTTCTTATAGATATTTGCAAATCTGATACCAACAGAGGCAAATGTTTTATATTAATCCATGCTACTGATAAAAGGACAGTTACCTAGTTTTCCAAATAACTGATTGGTTTTCATGCTGCTTTCACATAATGAGGTGATGCACAGCTGCACATTCCACCATAAAAACATGGTGAAATGCTGGAATTAGCAGAGATAAGGTTCGGCATCAGACGAAAGTTTGGATTCTCCTTTTCCTTTTTATGGACATCACTTTATGAGCTACCTGTTTTTGTCATTCATGACCACATATGGTTGGTCCTCTCTAGAGATGCTGATGCAATGTTATTATGAATGGAATCCACAAAACTATTCACCTCTTGTGCAGCTGTTAAATTTGACATTTCTTGAATGACCTCATTTTCAGTCCCTAGTTCTCGTCTCAGATCTGCAGTGAAGTTTAACAACAGAGGCTTATAAAGTACCACTGTGCCTTTCCATGGTGAAAATGTTGCTGTTTTGTTGTGCAGCAACAGACTATGAACAACCTCTGTAAAACACCTGTAGCAGACATGCTGTATTTGTCTTACAACTTTGGTGGCACAGACTTCAAATCAACACTATA